CACACACACATATATATATATAGGTTATTGACCAGAGTTGAATTAGGTCATGAAACAGTAATATTAAAAAGTGCTCAATACATGTATAAATAAAATAAAAATTTAACAGGCAGAGCTTTTAAATTTGAAAAAATTGAGAGATCAACCAATCACCTTGGTTTCAGATATTCGGTATCTTTAGATGATCCAGGTTAAATAATTTCCTAACACTTTATTATTTAAAAATAAATAAATAAATGCACAATGCAAAGCTTAATAGAAGGTGAGGGTATTGAAATTGTATCAGTGGGGAGGGGGGTTTATATGAAATGTACATGTTTTCATCCTGGTTCAAATGAACTTGGTAGGAATTTTTTTGTCTTTATACATCATGTCATTATTTATGATTTCTCATTCAGAAGGTTTTTCTGGTCCGGAAATGTTACTGTTAACTTTTCTTCTTGGCAAAGATTGCAGATTGTTGCAAGGTTTGGCTTTATATTATTTTCAAGTTTACAATTGGATCTTAGCAGTTTTTTTTTTCTTTTAATTTCCACTCATGACTGATTCGTCTGGTAGAATTCTTAGATCTTTCTAGCTTGAATGATAACTTGTGATTATACAATCTCGTTTTGAAGCTGTCTTCAGTACATCCTATGTAAATTTTATTCTGCTCATTTGTATCTTTTACTTCTGCTTTATAAATTACTCCTTATGTTTTGCAAACTCCATCTAGTGGACATTTACTATTATTTCTACAGTTACATATTTCAATGTTAAGAATATCTCATTGCACGTTAGTTTTGAAATTCTTAGCATTTTGTTTTTTATTGTGGTTTCTAAATTACTAGAACAACTTTAGCTTAATTTAATTGTATTTTTATTAAATATCTTGTGTAATTTCGAATTTGTATATTTTAATTCTGCTTTATAAATTACTCCTCCTGTTTTGCAAATTCTCCCTAGTGGACATCTACTTTTATTTCTACAGTTACATATTTCACTATTAACGATAACTCGTTGCACATTATTTTTGAAATTCCTCGCGTTTTGTCATTTTTTTTTTTTTTATTGTGATTTCTAAATTACTAGTGCAGATGTAGCATAATTTAATTGTATTTTTATTAAATATCTTGTGTAAATCAGAATTTTTGGGAAAGTATTTTTTTTTTTTTTTTTTTTTTTTTTTTTGCATTACGCCCCAAGCAAAGCGTGAAGCCACTAGGATGCAGGGGGTTGCGGAGTGAGAGCAGATAGGAGTGATAGGATGAGGAGAAGGATAGTGGGTAGATCAAGGTAACTGGAGATGTTGATTGACATTACATTTGAATAGTTGGAGATTATAGCCTTCAGGGAAGCAGTAACTGGGGAGGGTGTTCCACTGGCGAGAGGTGCGAGGTATGAAGCTAATTTGAAAAATGTTCTCCCTATCTTACATTTGATCTCTAAGTTAAAAGGGTGGTTAAAATAAATTATTTCTTTTCTTCAAATTGTTCTTCATTGTTGTTTTTATTTGTTTTAAATTCCAATTTAGGTTCATGTCCATCTTCTTTCAAAGTCTTTTCATATGCTTTCTTTTTATCTTTGAAAATTATTTTACCAGAGGAATTTCTAGATAACCTTTACTCTATACCTTTAGGGATGTCCTTTATTATACTTGCAGGCGGGGTGGGGGGATGCAGCATTCACGTAATTGCCATAAATCAATATTATTCCACAATATGCTTTTCAGACTCATCATCTTGAAAATGGAAGTCAATATGAATAAGAAAGTTGTCCAATATTTGGATAAAGAATTAAATCTACAAACTGGCAGTGTTAGGAAATTATTTAGCCCAGATCACCTGAAGATATCAAATAGATGAACCCAATATAACATGATCGGCTGCTCACCTAATTTTTTCAAATATTTATCCAAATATAATGAGAACAAAAAATATATAAGTTCTAATGTTCACAGCATTAATTCAAAAGAGGGTTCAATACCGATAGAAGAGCAACAATTATTTATTATAATTTTTTCATATAGACAAAAACAATTTACTCACTACAAAGATACAACTTCGTTTCAGTGCATTTAGTTGCACCTCGACTGGTGAGAACCAAAAATGGTTATGAACAATTTTGTTTGTAAGCAGGCCGCACATGGAACATCACTTCCTTTTTTCTATTTATTTAAAAAAAAAAAAAGAAGGTACATTTTTAAGTGGCGGGGGGACGTATAAGGATAAAGAAAAAATAGGAGAGGCAAAAGGATGATAGAGTGAAACAATAATGTTTGTTGATATCAGTTTGTTGAAGGAGTGTTGAGGTATTTGGGTGGAGTTATCACTTTAACACCTAATGTGATCAATAACTTGAACAATCCAGCACGTTCATGTCCTCAGTTACGATGACTTGTGACTTTGTGCTAGCACAGCAATCGATGACCCACAAGAGTTCCATCTACCCAGTTTCACTTACAAGGCTTGGGTCAACCCGTGGTATGGTTTTCAGGCACTTTCTAAAGGTGATGCATGCTGGGATCAACCTTGATCCAATTCGATAACATCAGGAAGTCACTATCCTAACAAATCGATCGACCATGGTGAGATTTAAACCCGGATCTCATAGTCAGAAAGTGTACATTCTAACCACTCAGCCATGTGCCTAATAAATATATATATATATATATATATATATATATATATATATATATATATATAAAAATTTTCAAGAGGATAGAATCCAGATAGAACTCAATGTTCAGGACAGAGTAAGAATATAATATAAAAGGCTCAAACACTAATATTCCATGGTTATAGTTTTTAATAAATTATAACCATGGAATATTAGTGTTTGAGCTTTTTATTTGTGCATATATTTATATACATAAAGCCAAACAAATCTGTTATTTTTTAATATATTTTTCCATTTTTTAAATGAGGTGTTGAGTATTATGCTTGAAGTTGTGAATAAACTGTCCTTAACTTACAAGACAATGTAGAGTTGCTAACAAGAGGACCAGCTTACAGTACAAACTACAAATTGGTGACCTTATAATCAATCAAGTGCTGAGATTTAACTATCTGGATAGTGTTATACCCGGCAATGAAAAATATGAAACAGAAATCTGATGGTCCATTGGAATAGCAAAAAATACCTTGAGTATTAAAAAACAGAAGGAGTTTGTTAGAAACAAAGAAAAAGAATACGAAACTGCTTTGTAATATCTATCCTTCTACATGAAATTGAATGCAGGACAATTTTCTCACTAATGAAGAGGAGACTTAGTGCAACAGAGCTGTAAAGGATGTTGAGAATACAATGGAATATATGAACAAGAAGAAAAGTTTTAAGGAAAATAGAAACAAAAAGAAAGAGTGATAAAATCTCTAGGACACATAATGAGGAAAGAGGGCTTGGAGAATCTAACACTCATAGAACTTATTGAGGTAAGGAGAGCAGAGAGACACATCAAGTACTCTATCCTATAAGGAGCTTGTGTAAATGGATGGCAGAACAGGGCTAGGGGTGGGGATTGTAAAGGGGACAGAATTTGCTTGGTGTTCTAAAGGATTGGAAGATGTGGAGAACTATAATCATATGCATCCTGAAGGGGCATGTGTCATAAAAAGAAAAAAATGAACAGCTTTGTTGCCTTTCTCCTGGGTCATTTCAAAATATAAGAAAATTAAAACGAGAGATAAAATTATTTTTCTTAGAACACTCTTATGGGAGATTCATGAAAATTAAAGATAATACTGATTATTCTTTGTGTGTGTGTGTGTGTATATATATATATATATATATATATATATATATATATATATATATATATATATATATAATCATTCAATGGATAAACCTGTATTTAAAATATAAATAATGTGATTTCTGATTTCTTTTATATTATTAAAATATATGCATTATTCTGCATTCTGTTCCTAAACTAAAGATATTTTTTTATAAGCAAATACTTTATAAATAATATTAATGCTTATTATGAATAAACAAGTAAAATAGAAAACACTTTTCTTTTTTTTTTCAATAAATCAGGCAAAGAAATATATTAGAATAAGCTGAATATTTTATGGGTCTGAAAAACCAACTGCTGTAGGATTTTGCTTTAAAGACATTGCATCTCATTCAATCTATTAAACCAAATGAAGTGAGATACATAAACATTTTACCTGCCTGAAGATTGTGAAACATTAGTAGTGACTCAAGCTAAGCCTCATAGAGGGTTGATGCTGTGAAGTGTTTTTTTTGTTCTGTTTTGATAGCCTAAGGCCAGTGATTCTCAACTGCCATGCTGCAGCATAGTTGTGTGTGCCATGAAATAATGTCCAAATATATATATATGTATATGTGTGTGTGTGTGTGTGGAAGTAGTAATGGTACAGCATTAGTATTTGAATAAATGAATAAGTATTAAACTTTTTTAAATAATTCTTTTCAATATTTTTCCATTATGTTATTTTAAATACTTTGTTTTAATATTCATTTTTTAAAAAGTATTTTTATCTTTTTAAGGGCTCAAAATAAAACATTCGCTAATACCCATTGAAACATTTTAGTTTTCAATACAAAAGGAATATCCCACATTAGCTATGATGAGTTAGAAGTCATTATTAAAGTGCAAGATAAATAACACAATCAGAATTAATAAAGTTTACAGTGAAAAGAAAAAGGATCAAGAAGATGAAACAGCAAAAATCATTCAAGCAAGAAATATAGTTAAAGCAAATCAAAATTGATAAAAAGGCAAAAGAATTCCCAGACTATGACCAAGCAAACATGGTATGTCTGTCTAGTAGTTAAGGCAGATCTGGTCTGAGCCATGTCAAAATGCAAGCTGTCCCATTTTATTGGCTATGAAAAATATCCCAGGATGCATTCTGTGTTCTTCTGACTATAAGAGGTGGAGGGGGAAAAGTTTTGCAATCATTTCCATCCCATCTTGGGAAATCAACGAGCAAAAATGCTTTATCAGTTTATTGCAATTTTCTTCTTATTTATGTGAATTAGGTTTGTCAACTCTAAAAAACATAAAAAATAAGAAGTAAGAATGACTGAACTGAAGAAGAAGACAAATAAGCGAGAATGACTGAACTGAAGAAGAAGACAAATAAGCGAGAATGACTGAACTGAAGAAGAAGCGAGACTGACTGAAGACGGAGAAGAAGCGAGACTGACTGAAGACGGAGAAGAAAGAAGACGAGAAGAAGACTGAAGACGGAGAAGAAGCGAGACTGACTGAAGACGGAGAAGAAGCGAGACTGACTGAAGACGGAGAAGAAGCGAGACTGACTGACTGAAGACGGAGAAGAAGACTGAAGACTGACTGAAGACGGAGAAGAAGCGAGACTGACTGAAGACGGAGAAGAAGCGAGACTGACTGAAGACGGAGAAGAAGCGAGACTGACTGAAGACGGAGAAGAAGCGAGACTGACTGAAGACGGAGAAGAAGGACTGAAGACGGAGAAGAAGCTGACTGAAGACGGAGAAGAAGAAGACTGACTGAAGACGGAGAAGAAGCGAGACTGACTGAAGACGGAGAAGAAGACGAGGAAGAAGCTGACTGAAAGACGGAGAAGAAGGAAGAAGACTGACTGAAGACGGAGAAGAAGCGAGACTGACTGAAGACGGAGAAGAAGCGAGACTGACTGAAGACGGAGAAGAAGCGAGACTGACTGAAGACGGAGAAGAAGCGAGACTGACTGAAGACGGAGAAGAAGCGAGACTGACTGAAGACGGAGAAGAAGCGAGACTGACTGAAGACGGAGAAGAAGAAGAAGGAGACTGACTGAAGACGGAGAAGAAGAGACTGACTTGAAGACGGAGAAGAAGCGACTGACTGAAGACGGAGAAGAAGCGAGACTGACTGAAGACGGAGAAGAAGCGAGACTGACTGAAGACGGAGAAGAAGCGAGACTGACTGAACTGAAGAAAACAATGGTCTGAATAACAAAGGCTTGCTTATTCCATCTTATGCACCCACTGGCAGCTTCTCTGTTCATTGCCGAGGTCAATAACAATACACACGTAAAGAACAACACCTGGTTGATCCAGCCAGTAGTCATATGCTTGTCATCGCCTACATGCCATCATGGGTGCTGGCACTATACATTAGATTGAGACCGATGCACATCATTCTGGTCAATTGCACTGGCTTTTTACACCTGGTGACGGATCTCTCAAGGGTCTGCCCTATCAACTGCCAATGGCCGGTTAAGTGCCTTCCGTGGTTACTGCGGGTAACAGAGAATTGGAGTTCAATTCAGGGGAGGGAGCATGAGAGTCTGCTCATCACACATTCAACCAAACATTGAAGAAATCATGAAAAAAAAAACATGCACATGTTTCACACTAAATAAGCTGCACAAATAGTTGAACAGAAATATTGAAATAAAGTAAGTCCATATTTGCGTGTATTTTAAAAATCTATGGTTTTATTTCATAACATTTAAATGTATAGCCTTTAAAAATTTTGCTTCTAAGTGTGCTGTTAAATAAAAAGGTTGAGAAGCACTGGTTTAGGCAATGAACACTGTTATTTATTGTTTAGGTAGGTGTTTGCCATTTGTTTTTGTTGTTTTTAAGTTTGTCATTTTTTTCTTGTGTAAGGTTTTCCTTAGGGATTTTTTTTTGTTAGTTTTTTTGGCAGATAGTCTGTTGGTTGCACAAACATTTTGGATTTTTGTGTATCCCTCTCTCTCTCTCTCTCTCTCTCTCTATATATATATATATATATATATATATATATACACACACATAAACACCTCCTTACATACACAGAAGAACTTGAACACTAAGAAAAGCTCACTAATGAGAAGGCTGAACAAAGCTTTAATAAAAGTGAAACATGTTAGATTGATAAACATTTCCTGTTTGTTCTTTATCCTAACATATATATATACACACACACACACAGGGAGATAGAGTAGATATCTATCCATGCAAAATGCAAGACTGGCTGAAATTTTATTAAATATTTACTCCATAAAATAGAAATAAAATTATAAATAATACAAATTAAAATAAAAAAAATCATTTTTGTGGAAAAGGTATGTCTTTATTAACAGCAGTGTCTAGGTATCTGTGTTTCTGAACCAAGAAAAGTATTACTGACATAACTGGCTGTAAAGGAATACTTTTATTAGAGTTGGTGACCCGACACACTAAGCAAAAGAAAAAAAAGAAAGCTTTCTTTTTAAAGCTGTTGCTATCAGAATGTCAACTTCTGCTAATATGCATCTCTTCTACAGCCAGTCATATGTGCCATAACATAAACTATAAACAAATTCAATATAAATTTCAGGTTCTACTAAAAATTCTAAATAAATCTGAAAATGAAACATATTCAGGATATATAAAAAATTAAATGTTTAAAGTAATAAGCCAACCAACATAGATAATTTCAGCAATTATAGAAGATTTCAATGGGGAAAACTTATGATCTTCATGAAAATTTATGAAGAGAATTAACTTAAGAGATGTGCCTAGTGGATAGAAAAGGTATAGTTTAACTGCCCTCAATGAAAAATTTGTACTAACCCATTTTTAGTGTATGTTGGTCTTTGTGGAAGAATTGGATGATTGTTCAGAGGGCTATGAATAAATGAATCTCCTCAGAGAATCATTCAATTTAAAATGTGAATAGTTATGAGCTTTTCAATATGGTTATTTTCAAAACTGGGGGGATCATAAATTATTTTGTGTGTGTGTGGGGGGGTCATATGCCTGCCTGTGAAACCCTGTGTCTCCACCACTGTTTTCAGACTATTTTTGGCACCTTAGCCTGGTTGAAAAATTTTGTTGGGGGTGACATTGTGTCACCCCTCCCATGCTGGCACCCGGGGCAGTCTGCACCCTCCTCGTCCCCCCACTAGCTATGCCACTGATTGTTACACATATGTACACAAGGTCAGACTTGTAAAATAAAATCATAGGCTGGCAGTTTTTATATATATATATATATATATATATATATATATATATATATTGAAAGCATCTGATTGCACCAGAGTAATTGTCTCGATAAAAATACACAAGCCATTTTTTTTTTTTTTTTTACCTTATAGATGCTTTTATTTTTGAACCTGTGGTATGTTAAAAATTAATCATTTGTGCATTATTTTTTTCTATATTATAGCAAAATATATATAATAAAGTTTGTACTTTGACCATTTTGTTTCTAGAAGATAATTCATTTAAAGCATTCAATAAGTTCAAATTGGCAGGTGATCTCAGAAAAATTGCCAACAATCTATTGTTAACTGGGGTTAAGAAATGCTTTGTTAATTTTAACATCTTCAAAAGAAAACTGTTCTTTTAATCATCTGAGAGAACCTTTTTCACCTTCTATCAACATACCTGAGGCTAACCTCCAGGACATTGACTCATTGTGTCTTCTTTTGCTTACATGAAGTCAAAAGATTATATTGAATCAATTGGTCTGCTACTAGAAAAATTGGTTTGCTGTGTCGTGCTAGACAATTGTTCTCACAAGAATCTATCATACACATTTATAAATTTATTATTCGTTCATGCATTGAATATTTTGCTACCACATCTGGTCTGGTGTCTGCTATGTATTTAGAGCTTTTAGATAAAATCCAAAGAAATCTGAAGAGTTACTGGTCTTGACCTGGCATCTTGGCTTCAGTTACTTTCTCATTGCCTTAATGTAGCTACCCTGTGTGTTTTCTATAAATATTTTCATTTTAATTGACCTGATAAACATTCGTCTTTGGTACCTAGACTTTCACAAGGTCTATACTAACAATTTTTCTCTTGCACTTGTGGAACACTTCCGGCTTTTTGCTTTCCAGTCAAGTTTGATCAGCAGAAATCTAAATGTGATGTCAGTCGTTATCTTGAGTTTTCTTAATTCCTGTTCTTTCATTGTTCTCCCTCTTCAATAGTTTTATTTATGTCATATTCTCTCACATTGCGTAAACCATTGTCTTAGTGGCTTGCTTGTGGTGAAGTGATTAAAAAATCCAATCTTTGTAAGTGCTCAATATTAAGAAATAGAGCATTAAAAAATTAATGTAATAAAATATAGAATTATGAAACTTATCTTTCCAATTTCAAGTTTCACAGACATTAAGCTACATCTGCATCCTGGGTAAGACGTTAAACTACGTCCAGCAGCAAGGCCTCTGATCAGGTGGTTTTGAGGAGCGTGGAACCACCTCTTAATTGCTGGTGTTCCCAAGTCCACCCTGACCCGGGGTGGTAGCACCTGTTAGGGTCCCAGCTATGGGCAAATACTTAACCATTACTAGCAATACTTTTTTGAAAAAATTATTACCAGCAATACAATTTTGAAGGAAATATATATTACCAGAAACATATTTTTAACAAAACAAAATATTACCAGCATTAAATAAACCATTGAGGTCGATATGCCATAAAACAAAATAAACCAAAGAATACATACTCTATTCATACGAATCTACCCTAAAAATGTTGTTGGCATTAAATAACCCATTGAGGTTTATATGCTGTAAAACAAAATAAACCAAACCAAGTTTCACAGATTTAATCTACTTGTCAGAGGATGAAATAATTGCTTTAAGTAAGAACAAATTTTAAAGTTGGCAAAAAAGTTAATGGTGTTTATGTAACCTGATATCTGTTAATAAAAATTCTCTTGAACTGTCCAATCCCTTGATGAGTGAATTATATCTGCAGAACTTGGAGATGGAAAGATAAGTTTTTGAATTTTATGTTTTTTTACACACATATATATATATATATATATATATATTTTGAAAACTTCAAAGCCCAAGATTTATTAAAAAAAAGAAAAACAATCAGTATTTGTATACAGAGAAGTATTGTTGAGAAATTGACTGTGTTAAAATCTGAGAACATTAAAAAATATTTGAAAAATTTTCAATATTCTGAAAAGAAAAGAAAATTATAGAGTGATGTAATTATTGTGTTCGTAATTGAAGATGGAATGATGTAATTATTATTATTATTATTTCTATGCAGCAAATTAACCATTTTCATTAAATTCTTTGATTTTTTTTTTTTTTTTTTTTTTTTTTTAGAAATATACTAACTTGCAAAAGCAGCAGTTCTCTTAAGAATGAATATATGTATAAAGACCAGGTTGTATATTTATTATGGCAATATCATCAATTAGGATGCTTTCAATGCATTTACATCTTAAATTATTTTCTTTCTTAACAAAGATAGGATTTTTAATATTGAAATTGCAATTGAAATTATTAACCAATCCATCAGATAAATTATTTTGTAGGTGTCTTTTTGGTTTTATAAATTTCTTGAAATCTCACCTACATAATTTAATGATCAATTGTCGCATAATATTTTTTATGCTTGGTGTTAAATTAATGTTATTGCATTTATTTTTGGTTTTGATCATCTCCAGTTTTTCATATAATTGTTATTAGTTTATTATTAAATTTGGATATATTATTTTTAATTATAATTATAGAGCTGGCATTACATGTCCATTTCTAATAACTATTATTATTTCCTTTGATTTTGTTGTATTATTTTAAAATTGGTCTCACTCCTTGAAAGGCAGTAAAGCCACTAAGACACAAGGGGTCAGGGTGTGGAAGATTCAGGTCTTGCACCATCATACTTGTTTGACCCAAGAGACAGTAGACAGCAATTGACATTACATTTAAATGTTTGGCTGGAAAGCATGGAACCGGAAGGGAGTTCCACAAGTGGGATGTTCTAGAAATTAAACTGTTAGCAAATAATTTACAGTTCTTAAATTAAAAAAAGTCTAGGTACCATAGCAAAGAGCTCATCCAAACAATTAACATGAAATTTATTATAGAAAAAACACATTTCCTTTCTTTTGGTCCCAACTAAAATTTTTGACCTAAGATCAGAAATGGATTCATGACATTTCACACTGAGCATTTTTTGGAGAAAAAACCCCCCAAAAGATTGCACACAATTAGCTTTGATTGTTCTGTGTGTATTATAATGTCCTATAAAATTGTTACAAGTGCTATCTCTG